GCATCAGTCCTTCCAATAAATACTCAGGACTGATTTCCTTTAGGATGGACTGGTTGGATCTCCTGGCAGTCCAAGGGACTCTCTCAAGAGTCTTCTCCAACACCACAGTTCAAAAGCATCAATTCTTTGGAGCTCAGTTTCCTATATAGTCCAACTCTCACATCCATACATGACCACTGGAAAAACCACAGCTTTGACTAGATGGACCTTTGTTGGCAAAGTAATGTCTCTACTTTTTAATATGCTGTCTAGGTTGGTCATAGCTTTTCTTCCAAGGAGTAAGCGTCTTTTAATTTCATGGCTGCAGTCACCATCAGCAGCGATTTTGAAGCCCAAGAAAATAAAGTCTGTCACTGTTTCCATTGTTTCCCCATCTATTTGCCATGAAGTGATGGGACCAGATGCTATGATCTTAGTTTTTTTTGAATGTTGAGTTTTAAGCCAACTTTTTCACCCGCCTCTTTCACTTTAATCAAGAGGCTCTCTTTAGTTCTTCTTCACTTTCTGCCATAAGGGTGGTGTCATCTGCATATCTGAGGTGACTGATATTTCTCCGAGCAATCTTGATTCCAGCTTAAGCTTCATCCAGCCCAGCGTTTCGCATGATGTACACTGCATAGAAGATAAATAAGCAGGCTGACAATATACAGCCTTGACGTACTCCTTTCCCTATTTGGAACCAGTCTGTTGTTCCATGTCCAGTTCTAACTGTGGTTTCTTGACCAGCATATAGATTTCTCAGGAGGCAGGTCAGGTGGTCTGGTATGCCCATCTATTGAAGAATTTTCCAGTTTGTTGTGATCCACAAGTCAAAGGCTTTGGTATAGTCAATAAGGCAAAAGTAGAAGTTTTTCTGGAACTCTCCTGCTTTGTCAATCATCCAACGGATGTTGGCAATTTGATCTCTGGTTCCTCTGCCTTTTCCAAATCCAGCTTGAACATCTGGAAGTTCACGGTTCACATACTGTTGAAGCCTGGCTTGGAGAATTTTGAGCATTACTTTGCTAGCATGTGAGATGAGTGCAAATGTGTGGTAGTATGAGCATTCTTTGGCATTGCCTTTCTTTGGGAGTAATGAAAACTGACCTTTTCCAGTCCTGTGGCTACTGAGTTTTCCAAATTTGCTGGCATATGGAGTACAGCGCTTTCACAGCATCATTTTTTTAGGATCTGAAATAGCTCAGCTGAAATTCCATCACCTTCACTAGCTTTGTTCGTAGTGAAGCTTCCTAAGGCCCACTTGACTTCGCATTCCAGGATGTCTGGCTCTAGGTGAGTGATCACACCATCATGGTTATCTGGGTCAGGAAGATCTTTTTTGTATAGTTCCTTCAATACAAAAAGAGTTCCTCAGCACAGGATGGGGGAAAAAAATCTATAGATCTTAAATTCTTTTTAGCAGGTTTGTTTTTCAGAATGGTAAGGGCACAGCAATTCTGCCACTCTGATGCGTACTGTAGGACGGAACACTAAAGGAGTTGATGTTGCTGTAACCATGGAGATAAGAAGATGCATTGGGATGGGTGAGGAAGAGCTCTGTGGAGCTGAATTAAAACTGCAGTATTATGAACCCATGACTCCCTAGCTCCTTCCAGTGGGTATAGAAACCAAGCTTCCTGTGATGCCAGAAGTGGTGTGTGTGTGCTGTCCAATGTGGTACAAGCCACATGTGGCTACAGAGCTGAAAGTGGGGCTAGTATGACTAAGGAGCTGAGTTTTTAACTTTATTTGAAGTGAAATGTGAACTGCCACAAGCAACCGTGTCTACCATTAATACACGAGACAACTCAAGTCTAGAGGCAGGACACCACAGTAACACTTAGCACCCAGATCTTGGCTTCTAAAGACTACTCCCCACCGAAAGGGATCAGACGCAGAAAGCTTACAAGATAAGCACGTGGTCTGCCAGACAGCAAGAAAGGGCTTCATGTAAGAAGGACACACGAGTCAGCTGAAGGGGCTCTTATCTGCCAAAATCAGGGACAGTTACAACTCACCTAATGAAAGAGGCGCCCTGGAGTCCATACGAATGACAGACAGGTGACAGGAGAGCTCTTCCAATCGGCTCACGCTTGAAAACCAGGGTCACAGATGAAATGACTTCTGAAATTCATTCCGGTAAGGTGAGTCTCACCCCAACCCTTACCTCATACCTTAGTCCACTTTCTTTCCAAGTGGCAGACAGAGAACTTTCCAATTCCCAAACAAGACATTCATGTTCTTAACACTTTTCTTAGGCAATAAAAAAATCAGAACAAACAAACCAAAAAAACACAAAAAATTCCTCAGGGTCACCCTTCCAACAAGCAGTTCAAATGACCTGGGCTTCTCAATTTCCAAATTCTGGAGAAATCACTAGGGGAACCTCTGCTCTCTCCCCTTCCTTCCCTAAAGAAATCAGAAGACAGCCATACTCTGTAGCTTCCTACCCTGCCTCAATCTTACCCTCGCTCTAGTGGAAAATAACTCAATATGATGGTTATGTGAAATGCAGCCAAAGCATACATCTTTGAGACCCCCCTCCTCTCCACATGTCTGGAGGAGGAAATGGCAACCCACTCCAGTGCTCTTGCCCAGAAAACCCCGTGAACAGAGGAGCCTGGCGGGCTATAGTCCGTGGGGCGGCAAAGAGTCAGATGCGGCTGAGCACAAGTCCTCTTCACACGAATCTGTAGTTTCGTATGGGAAACTTTCAGGCACCTTAAATAAAAAGGAGGGGATGCACTACAGTTTAAATGGCAAACATTTCATCAAATCAAGCAACACACTTACTAAGCATCCTACCTCACGAAGTCGTAAGAGGAGAAGTATCTTTTAAACCTGCCTCCAAAACTAATCATCCGGCTCTTGGAAAACACACATGGCAAACTTTTCACCAAATCAAGCAACACACTTACAAGCTACCCTACCCCATGGAGTCATAAGAGAAGTATCTTTTACACTTGCCTGTAAAACTAGTCTTTCGGCTCTTAGAAGACACACATCGAAACCTCAGTAATGTTACCGAGATGAGGAACTACCCCTCGGTGAACAAGTGACACTGCACATCTTTCGTCTCTAAGTCCAGGCAATTGGCCTGGGGGGGCGCTGCTGTTTCAGTTCTAAACCTGTCTGAGGACATCGATTGTGAGTTGCATATGAACTCCCCAATTCTCTATTACCGGCACTTTATAGAGTATTTACAGTGTCATCAGAGAACCTGTGCATCAAGGTCATATTTGCAACCACAAGATCATTTTCTAAATGCTTTGACATTCTAATAATATCAGTAATGATGGAAGCTCTGCTTACTATCTGCCAGGCACTGCGCTCAGCACTCATCCTTTGCAGAAGGAACCTACTCCCACTGAGAAATAAGGAAGCTGGGAGGAATCTGAACTCATAACCCAGTTGTGACTTTCAAACATCACATTCGCTGTTAACAGTGCTCTGGTTTCCTATCATCACCGATATCTGAGTCATGGACTCTGATAATAAAAGCAGTAACTCTCATCAACTGACTATTGTACTGTGCCCAACTCCGTGCATATCTCCACTCCATACTGTTCACAACAGTTCTACACACGAACTCTCAGCAGTGCCACTGTAGAGAAGGATATCGGGCCCAGGTAAATGAAGTGATTTGGTAAGTAGCAGATCTGGGATTTCAACTAAGGCACGTCTGATCACAAAACACACCTTCTCACAGCCAGCTCCCACTTACTTCCTTTTTTTCCTTAAAAAAAAGGAAACTCTTATTTGGGTTTGGGGAAAGACAGAGAATCCTAGTGACAAAAGAATGAACTGCAAACAGCTGGACGCCCAGCATCTGAGTTATGAGCCTCCCCTGTTGGCGAGGGGTCATTGTTGTGCAGAGCCTTACTGCTGGATCCCTGATCGTAGCAAATTCCAGGGCTCCAGACTGCAGGCTCAGCCTCTGACTAACACTACAGTGATTTACCGAGGGTAAATGCCACTGTCAGGGTGTCTTATGACTGCACACACAGTCCAGCGCGCTGGAATGCCGGAGATGCCGAGGGCTGCTGGCGCACTCGGCGCCCTCGGGCCACGCAAGGTCCCCGCCCCCAGACTCTGAGCTCCACGCTCCTGCCAGAAAACAGCAGCATCCTTGGAAGAGCTGGGGAAGCCGAGCATCCTGAATAATCACTGCACGCTAACTCACACGTGGGGAGGGGAAAGGGACAGGGCCGTTCACCTCCGCCCTCTGCCGAGCCCCCAGACTCCGACCTCACCCACCCGCACATGACGGCCGGAGCAGCCTCCCCGCAGAGTGGGGGTGGGGTCTCTGAGTCCAGCAAACATACAAAGCGGTATCCACTCCCTCTGCAGGGTGTGCGTGTGAGAAACACAACAGCTGGGGGGGGCAAAACTAGGGCACACGGAAGCACGCGGGTTTCCCAGCACAAACGTGGTGACATCACACAGACTCCAGCTCTCTTCTCAACAGAGGAGGACACTGAGGCAACTCACGTGCAGGCTGCAGGGGGCAGCGCCCCCCAAACCAGCCCCAGGACCGCGGCCTCAGGACCACCTCTCGGAGGGCAGGAGCCCGCGTGCTCAGGCCCAAACATGAAAACCACCCTCCGCCGTGGGGAAGCCTCAGCTGTGTGCCACGAACACACCAGCGAGCCCGCGTGCCTGCATCTCAGGCAGCCGGCGTTTCCCAGCCGGGGTCCAGGGGTGCTGGCCCCTCCGGACACTCAGCGGGGACCAGTCCCCACCAAGAAGCAGCTGGCGGGGGCCAGGCAAGGGAGGCAAGTCTCCCCGATCACCTCCTGAAGCCGCTTGAGCCAGGGTACCCTGGTGGGGAGCACACGCGAACGGAAGACATGTGGGATGGAGGTCACCTCCCCGAACCGGTTAAATGGCCCCTCCGGGCAGGGAGCGTGGGGGGAACTAGCAGGCACCTTCTCCCTTCGGAGTCAGCCCAGAGCAGCCGGAAAAGCGCGGCCCCACAGGCCCCCGTGAGCTGGGCCGGCTGCAGAGAGGGGGACACTTACAGGTGGGGGGCGAAGATGCGACTCATCTTGGAAGCATGGTCAGCGTCACAGTCCAGGTCGTCGTCACCGGGGTCCACGCTGAACTTCCTCTTGCTGGGACTGATGGGCGGGGGCCCCGTGCGGTGAGCGGTGAGGGCCGAGGCCACCGGGAGGGTCTGCAGCCGGGGCTCCCCTCGGAGAGCAGCTTCACCTGCGCAGAGACAGAGGCAAGTCAGCGCGGTCACCAGGCAGGACAGATGCGCCCGCCCGCCCCCACGACTCCCGGGGGAAAGTCACTGGCAACACGATGGGCCGCCCCGGCGTGCTCAGAACGGGCCCAGGCCCGCGGTGAGCTGCCGATCACGAGACTTTCCACTTACACGCGATTTCCCAGCACGATCGCTCTCGTCTCCCCCAGCTTTACTGAGATACAACTGACATATAACATTGCACAGGTCCACAGTGAGCCACGTGTTCATGTTACACTTACAGACTGCAAAAACGTCACCCCAGAGCAAACTCCATCATCACGTCACATAACCATCCTCTCCCCTTCAGCAACTTTTTAGGGTCTAGGTTAAAATAAAAACTTGCAGCAAAGTAACTGGGGAGTGCGGACCAAGAACCACTTCAGGAGTTAACTGAAAACATGAAAGGTCTTTGACTTGTGGGTAATTCAACTGCTTATCTGGAAGAGTATGACCTAACCGTGGCTTCATTAAACCACTCACCTCGCTTCTCTTGCTTGTTACATTTTTATTATGTTTTTGGTATGTTATTTGTTTTTTTTTAAAGAATGAGGAAATTTTCTGGGCTCATAGTTCACGTATTTGCCCCCAGTGTTAAACAAAAACACATGGTTTAATGGGAAATGAGCATTTTTTCCCCTCAGACTACACTGAAAACCTGCATGTTACAAACATTATGACTATGATCTGCACCACGTTTCTGTAATTTGTCATGAGCTGATGCACAGGGGTAGCTCTCAAAATACCTTCAAAGCCAGACACTCACATCCGAGTTCACATCTTGATCTGATTCGACATCTGGGTGTTTTTCACTCCTGTTTCAGAAACGCTTTGAGCGAAGAGCTAACTTTGGGCCTCCTTATGAATTAAAATAATCATAAACTTTATTTTAAGAATGGTTATGTACCTTCTAATATTTATAAGCAAGAGTAATATTTACTTTTAAGAGCAAACTTCATTTTCTAAGTCACGGAATGGGGTGGGGGTGGGGGTTGGTGGTTTACCTAAAATTCTCACAAATAATAACCCCTTTGTGGTGCTTCTGATATTTGGCCTCAAAGGCCTGACCATTTCTGTTTCCACTTGGGTCCCCATTCGAGAGTCACAGTGGGATAAAGGCCTTTGGAACCTGAGAGAGGCGACCTTCATTTGCCGCACTAATGTTCCTGTCATCACAGATGCGTGGGCAGTTCTAACAGTCGCTCGCTTCACCCACGCACGACAAACGTGATCCTGTTAGGAGGGCTGAGGGGAATTTAAAAAAAAAAAAAAAAACACCTTCATGTTTACCAGGAAAAATAAAAATTTTGCCAATTTAGTCAGCAGGATATAAACTAGCAAACATACGGTCACCCATAAGCCACCTCCAGTCAGGATTTCTTTTAAGGGCTCTGGTCCCAAAGCAAACTGGAACTTTCCATCTTAAATAAAATACCTAAAAAAACAAGCCCCGTGCTGGCCAGCTACCCTCAGAAATGCAGCAGGATTTTGGTTGACCCTCTACTTCCTATTAAGTCATTTCTAGTTTAAACAAACAAACAGCACTGCTGATATCTGTACCTTGATAAATCAGAAAATACCCTAAGTCGGCCCCTCCTCCACAGAGCATCAGCAGCGCGGTTAACTTCTGGAGGAGCCCCGTAAGACCCCCAGAAATTCAGCAACTGCAGAGGAAGCCTCATCCACAAGGCCCAGCGCCAGCGCGTGCTCCACCCAGTGTTTCTCCATGTCCTTGGCAGGATACACGGGGTGAGGAGGTCTCCGTGTGGACCCCTGGGCTTTGGGAGCCATTTCGTAAAGATGCCAGATGTGTGGCAACAGCGGTTGCCATGGAAAACTGCCACTATAGCAACAAAAGAAGAGTCGCTCCCAAGAAAAGGAAGAGTCACTCATTACACAAACGTTCGCCGTTGCGTGAAAAGCACAACCCTTGGGGTAAGAATTACATTCCCGCTCCACTCCCCAACTCCCATCCTTGTACAAGTTCGTGGGCTTGTTTGCGTTTAAGTTCATCAAACGGAGGCGCTGGTGTGTGCCCCAGTCCACAGGAGTGAATCTTTTGGCAACACTGGAGATGGGGACCTGGGGGGTAGAGGACCCACGGAGGAAGCGCGGGTGGTCCTGCCCCCCCGGGGGTCCTCCAGAGACGATGGGGACGTGCCTGCCCCCAGGGGCAGGGGACTGGACTGCTCTGAGTGACCGACGTGCCCCACTCAGGGTCACACGTGGACGGGCTAACAGCAGCAAGAGCCATGCCCACTGCCTATGAGACTAACATTCCCCTCCCTGGGCCTCCATGCAACCGGCGGGGGGACCAGCTAACCTCTCACATTCCTTCACACCCAGTTCTGTGGTCCACAGTCCTCTAATCTATTAAGCAACCAACCAGCCAACATTTACTGAGACCTTGTACTGTGTGCGAAGTCGCTTCAGTCGTGTCCAACTCTTTGCGACCCCATGGACTGCAGTCTGCCAGGCTCCTGTGTCCATGGGATTCTCCAGGCAAGAGTACTGGAGTGGCTGGGGGGGCCGCTTCCTCCTCCAGGGGATCTTCCAGACTCAGGAATCCAACTCCCTCTTACATCTCCTGCACTGGCAGGTGGGTCCTTTACCAATTAGTTGTGAAATACTGAACTGAGACATCAAAACCCAAAATATGGACCTCCGATCTTAGATGGTTAAAAAAAAAAAAGTGAAGCTATGGTCAAATACATTTGGAAACCATGAGATTAAACAATTCTCCCAGGAGTTCCTTCCTGACTTTCTAAAGCACGCATCAGTCTCTAAGAGGCAAACGCAACAGCGGTGCCTTCCGTGACCCCGCCCCAAGGCACCCTACACCTACTGTAGACTCAGCCTTCCATGCGGCCCCACCCTCACCCAGACAGCCAGGAGCTCTCACTGGCTTTTGTCACTGACAAAACACGATCCAGGCTGCTCCAGCCTTCACAAGCAACATCTGGTCCCAACTGTGTTTCCCATCTGTGTCCCCAGTATTCCTCTTTCTAGGCTTTGAAAATCTCAGCCCTAAAAGTTAACCGGTCACCACACAACACAGAGAACTCACAATCTTTACTCGGGTTCTCCCCTTAATCTTCTGGTATTCAATCCTATACACAAGGCCAACTAAAAATGCCACCTCCTTCAGGCTGCCTTCCTTGATTCCTCAATCTGAAAGTCATCTCTTTTCCTGACACTCATAGAAATGTGTCACTAGGGCCCTTCCCACTTTGTATTGTGCCCCTTAAAGTAAGGGACACTGTATTCATTTCCTATCCTTGGAGCAGAGACCACAATGTATTCCACACAGCAGAGGGTCACGATATACTGACAATGTGTGTATAAGGCCAGGATGCCCAGGAAAAGAGTTTGGGGATATGTTAAATATTAAAAAATAGTAGAATAAGGATTTTTTAAAGATCAATTTGAGTATATATTTATATGAAGAACTCTTTAAAACTCAATAACAGAAAGATAACCCAAATTAAATAGAGGAAAGGATCTGAATAGAACTTTCTCCAAAGAAGGTCTACAGATGACCAGTAACGAAGCAGGAGGAAATATCTTCACCATAATTAGTCGTGCGTGCATGCGTGCTCAGTCGTGTCCAACTCTGGGCGACCCTATGGACAGTAGCCCCCCAGGCTCCTCTGTCCCTGGGGACTCTCCAGGCAAGAATACTGCAGTGGGTTGCCACGCCCTCCTCCAGGGGATCTTCCCAAACAAGGGATCAAACCTGCATCTCTCAGGTCGCTTGCATTGGCAGGCAGGTTCTTTACCACTAGCGCCACTTGGGAAGTCCAGCTAGCCGTCAGGGAAACAAGAAAACCACAGTGAGACACCAGCTCACAGCCACTAGGAGAGCCAGGCTAAAAAGACACAGGACGAGTGCTGGTCAGGACGTGGATGGGTTAGAACCCTCGTGTCTTCCTGATGTGAATGCAAAATGGTGCAGGTGCTAGGAAAAACCACGAGGGGCAGCTCCACAAATGGTTAAGCACAGATCCAGCCACCCCGCTCCAAGGTAGAGAGATACAAGAGAAATGGGAACACACAATCACACAAGACCGAGCCACGAATGTTCATAGCAGCTGTGTTTTTCACAGCCCCAAGCCCACACACCCAGTGCTGAGCAGATGCAGGAAACACGGTCTATCCACACGCGGGAGTGTCGTTATTCAGCCACAAGAAGGACTGAAGCCCTGATTCGTGCTCCATCACCGACAAACCTAGCGGACAGGATCCTGAGTGAAAGAAACCAATCTGAAAGGCCACGTGTCATCTGGCTCCATTTTATGCCATGTCCACAACAGGCAAATGCACAGAGACAGAAAGTAGCTTCGTTTTAAAATAAAGGAAAGTAGATTGGTGGCGGCTGGGAGTTGGGAGAAGTCGGGGGTGGGACATGACTGCTGGGGAGGGCAGGGTTTCTCTTGGGAATAATAAGACAATGTTCCTAAATGTGGTGAAGGCTGAAGAGCCCTGTGAATACACTAAAATCCACCGTCTCGTGTGCTTCAAGTGGGCGAACGGTACGATAATGTGAATTACACTTCCCTAAAGCTGTATTTATAAGTAGGTGAAAGAAGATTCCACTCTGACGAGATCCTTGTCTCCACAATTAACTGTTAAATAAGAACAAGCACCCATTAATTGTCCCTGAAATTAAAATAAACCTCTTGTTATTATAGCTATATCTCTCTACTATGTCATGGTCAGAAGTATTTATCAAGTGTAAAAAAATAAAAAATCAAAGCAGAAGAGCTTGAGGTTATGCAGGCACTTGGGTTCATCAGAATCCTATTAAGCTCCAGCTCAGCTTTTAATCAGACCGTGTTTGAGTGTCTATTACACGCCGAAGGCTGTGCAAAGTGCTGTCAGAAAAAAAACAGATGACGAAATTTTTATACAGACTCTGACCACAAGCAGGGAAGGAAAAGAATACACACCAAAAAGAATTTAT